AGTGACGACTGTTCAGCCCAGTTCCCTAGCTGTCCCTCCCCTCCGTGATGTACTTTGGTGTACGTGTGTCTGCTAATCTTCGGTGCCATTGTGCTATTTGATGTGTAAGACAATAGAATGCATACTGGCTTTTGTGGTATGGTTAGGCCTAACTGTATGTAATGCTATGGGTAATCTTTGTAAAAGTGTTAGTGGTTTTGATGCGTTTATTTGGACCAGAGTAATTCTATCTTTGCCGTAAGATTCATCAAGTAAACAGCACGGCGTAAGACAAGAGAATGGATACTGACAACCAGTTCGTAATGAAAGGAGATAGTATAAGTTGTACATAACATAACATCGCGAATTATTCTGGGTTGAGAATCAAATGGGGTAGTATATAATGCGACATCGCAATCTGTTCACGGTAACGTCACTGCTAGAAAAAGTAAGAAATATAGAATATAAATCTGTTTATGATAACCCAGGAAAAGGAAGATGTGAACAGCATATCATCAATTATTCTAATACCAAAAGCATATCGATAAAATAGGAATGAAATAGCTGATCAGAGCAGAATTCTAAACACGTCATCACCTGTTACCAAACAAAGAACAGAATGGAACACTTAATCAGTAAGAGATGACCGGATAGAGACCCTTAAGAGTAGTTAATCATAATGAAAGTGGGAATTAGCGAAGAAGCTTTTTAAATTGGTAAATTACCTTCGTCTGAGCAAAACTAAACCACAATTACGAAGGGGCAGTAATTAAGAGTCATGAGTAAGGGGCAGTGAGTTAGAGATCATCAAAAAGGAACTTCAAGTACGAGTTTATCAGCGAGCGTGCCGCAGCGAGCTCTCCGCGGAAGGCGTGCACCGTTACCGAGGTCCATCCCGCCCCGCACACACCGCTGCCTCACCGCTATTCGCTCCTCGTCAGGCGTCGTCAGTCTGTGTGTGTTGGCTGTGGGCGGCGCTGCTGACGCCCTCTCTCCCAGCGAAGACTCCGCGCTACTTTGAAATCGCCTGTCGCCATTGCTAAGTGTCAGTCATGCGAGAAGTATATTTGAATTCCACACTGGAGTTTCATGGCAGATCATCGAGCTGTTCGAAGCAAAGCAGCTTTTCCTATTTCGGCTTCTTGAACATGATGCTCATCATGCTTGAGGTGGCGATAAACATAATCAATCTAAACAACAACAACGATGACAACAATAACAATAATAACAATAACAACAATAATAATAACAATGTCAACGGAAGAAACATACGAGGATTGCATGGACCACAGGAGGAACTTCGTGCATTTCAGACGTTGGCAAAAAGCGTCCGAAAATACGACGAAACACCCCCTACCGACGAAGCGACAGATGATGCAGTCGAAGGCGAAGGTGCAGAAGCAAGCCGCGCAACGAAGAGCGAAGGGAGGCGTTCCCGTAGGCAGCGAGGAGTCCAAAAGCGGTCATTACCTAGAATGAAGGCAGCGCCACATCACGGGTGTCTGTGCTCAACGCATGGCGAGGAAAAAGACCCAGACACCGAGGACTTTCCAAAGGATCTTCTTCTGGAGGATCACGACCCTTGGAGTCTCCTGCCGACCATAGACGGAGGGCGGACGGGAGCGGAGGGGCGCCTCGGTGTTGGCGCGTCGGTAAATGCTATGGCCGGATGGATAGGCCGGTTAATGACGTCACAACACTGCCTCGCTTGGCTTCAGTGCGAAATCCGCGGCCTCATTGGAGCGTGAGTGTTACAATTACTTCATGTTTAAACAGCATGACGAAATGTCTGGTCCTTTGTATGTCACTAACATTAAGAAATTAACAGAAATCTATCTCTTTACAGGTATCTCAGCCAAAGTGACGGTGATGATGATGATGATGGTAACGACGAAAAGGTCCTCAAAACATGCATACAAAGGCACCCTAAATGTCCCTTGCTCATGCCTTTACACAGCGATGGATCCCAGGGTGTCTTGAAAATAAATAAGAATGAAGTATAATTCATGATTAACTAAAAAAAAAAGACACATTCCATATGTCATGATATTCATGTGTATTTGTGTGTATCTAAGTCATAATAAAGCCTGATAATAAACAAAATGATGTATAGTTTCTTAAATTTCAACATTAAACACAACAAACCTTTTGTGTTAAACAACCATATTCACATTTGCACGCATCTGTATGTGTGCGCCTTTATGCACATGTGCGTGTCCATAATAATATATATGTGAATATATAGATGCACACAGGGGCGTAACTTTGATTTTTTAAAAGTTTGATGACAAAAATATATATAAATAAAATAAATATCATAATTTACTTATTTGCATCGAAGCAAATATTTGCTTTTACATGTACAAAAAAGCATGACTCAAAAATCACATACACACCTTCATCGAAAAAAAATTCTAAATATATATAATTTTGAAGCCATTATTACACTACGATAACTTTAATTAATTGAATCCTATTCCATCGATTTCTTCCCTCAGTCACCTATTTATCAACTTCTTTTTTGTAAAGTTTATGTACGAATATGCCAGACGCTGCTTTCCCTTTGGCAGAGGGCCGCCTGTGAGTCGGGGAATATCAAACAAAACTTCATGTGGTTTCTTTTATTATCGTTAACAATGTTGAATAGTGATTCAACTTTCAGTAAAGAAGAAAAGGAAGACATGCTGTATCTATATATACACACTGGTCCCTTTTATTTCACAAAATAATTACACTATCTGGAATATATAACACTCATAATTATCATATAGGAAAACTTTACTGGTAAATCAAAAGGCACAAAACATTTGTTCCTGGTAAACAATATACACAAGCACGCGCGCGCGCGTCTCTCTCTCTCTCTCTCTCTCTCTCTCTCTCTCTCTCTCTCTCTATATATATATATATATATATATATATATATATCCGTGTGTGTGTGTGTGTGTGTGTGTGTGTGTGTGTGTGTGTGTGTGTGTGTGTGTGTGTGTGTGTGTGTATGTGTGTGCATATCTCTCTCTCTCTCTACATATATATATATATATATATATATATATATATATATATATATATATATATATATATATATATATATGTATATATGTATATATATATATATATATATATATATATATATATATATATATATATATATGTGTGTGTTGTGTGTGTGTGTGTGTGTGTGTGTGTGTGTGTGTGTGTGTGTGTGTGTGTTAATGCACACACAAACAGACATATATATGTATGTATATATATTATATGTGGTCCGGATGTCGACCTTTCAGTATTACTGGATACAGATGCGCGTAATCTAAGCCATTATGAGTTAGAGCCGCAATAATTAAATGTTTGAAATACTCAGAGGTGATATATCATTATTGTGTTCAAAATAAGGATACCGAGAATACATTAACATAACCATGCTAGAGTTTCAGTTATCTGTGTTACCAGGGATGCGTGACGGGGACCCAGCTCCTATGCACTCCCTATCCGCTATTTATTAAAAAATGGCCACAAACTTATAACTTATAACCTTATAAGCCAGTAGGTTTTCGTGTGCCTCCAGATGTACGCGTTTCTGATATTCCTAGTTTGTGAGTCCACCCCTTGAGAGAGAGGAGAGAGAGAGAGAGAGAGAGAGAGAGAGAGAGAGAGAGAGAGAGAGAGAGAGAGAGAGAGAGAGAGAGAGAGAGAGAGAGAGAGAGAGAGAGAGAGAGAGAGAGAGAGAGAGAGAGAGAGAGAGAGAGAGAGAGAGAGAGAGAAAGAGGAAGAAAGAGAGAGAAAGTCACTCACCCATTAATGATTAATGAATATCAGAAACGCGTACATTTGATTTTGTTTTATCTATTGACTGACAATTTGTTTTGCTTTATAAATTTTAGAACTACAACGTACAGAACCAGATTATACAATGATAAATGGTTTAGTTGTTCTCTCTCGTTTTGTCTATTTTTCTACTCATTATTAAATATTTTTCTGTGTTAGTTTACATAAACATTGATAAATAATAAATGACCATAATTATTACCAGCGTTCGATATTCCAAGTAAACTACAGAATGAATCTATATTATTATGATAATAATAGAAACAAGATACGGCCTACAAGCGTACAACATGTGTAAAAAAAATATTGTAACCTTATTCAAATTTTCTCTCTTTTTCTCTCTGCGTCTCCAGCCGACATGTACAGCGTCTGATTATTCAAGCTATCTGTATAGCAGCCGCTTCCGTGGATGTGGATGTTAAAGCGATACGGATATACGCGGATTTGGATTCGGATAACCGGTCCCCTTCTAATACATATAGTACATACATACATAAATGTACATACGTACATACATATATACATATATATATATATATATATATATATATGTATATATATATATATATATATATATATATATATATATATATATATATACATATATATATAAACACACACACACACACACACACACACACACACACACACACACACACATATATATATATATATATATATATATATATATATATATATATATATATATATGTATATATATATATATATATATATATATATATATATATATATATATATATATATATATATACACACATTACCACACACGTATATCAACAAACGGAAGAACAGAAAATTGCACAAACAACCCGAAGGTCTTTTATTGGCATTGTCTCTTCAGGCCTTGAAGAAGCAATACAGCTATGATCAGCATGAACCCTTCACAAATATACATACATAAATATATATGTATACACATGGGCAAACACCCACCCACCCACCCACCCACCCACACACACACACACACACACACACATATACAAACATGTATAAATAGTCTCATAGATATGCCTGTGCATGCACTCTTTATCTGTCCGCATAAGTGTGTTCTACTCATACAAAATCACTGGTTCGCTCTCAGTTCAAGTGACTGCGTGTTGGCAGCGGAAGTAGAAGGCGAAATCCACCATGAGTCCCATGACGATGGATGTGTGACTGTGCTGCGCAGCGTAGTAGAT